ATTAGCATCAATATTAGACTTTTTAGCAATCAAAAGCTCTTCTAGTCATTTCCATCTCAAACCCCCAGAATTATTTTTTTCTCTATATAAGCTCATTTGACAGATTCCAATAGCTTAGCAAGCTCCTCTATAGTATTCTTAATCTTTTGATGAAAGTAAACCTTATGGATATCCTCGGGAAATTCTGTCAAAACACCGTATTCTTCAATGGTAGGAACCATGTCGATATTCCCAAATGTAAAACATCGATTTTCAGGATCCTAAAAATAAATTAAGGTTTTTATGGCTAATGGCAGTACTGGAACATTTAGAAGATGCAAAACTCTCCCATACATCTTAGTAAATTCTACCTCATCGGCCAAGTATTTGGTGAATGGAAGCAAACGACTGGCATCATTTATTACGCATCTCACATCTTTTAGCAACGGTATCCCACTGTCATCCAGTCTAAGGCAGTCTCCCTCAGTCATATGCAATGATTCAAATTCAAGCCCATACTCAACCATTGTGATTTCACGATTAACGACCATTATGTCACCTAAAAACAATCCTGTAATAAAGATGTTATACGTTAAGCTTGCCTTAGTGAGATTTACATAGGGAACAACTTAAAGGGTAAGTTCTAGTCATTAAATGCTCAAGGTAGGCTACTATCTAGTCTTTGAAAGGTCTTTCGCATGCTCAGTGATCATTCTCGAAAGGTTGATATGAGGCTTACAAGTAGCATGAAGATAGAGGCCCTAAATAATATCAGTTTAGGCGTACCAACCACTATCGAGTAAACAATCAAGCGAAAGTTGGATGGTTTCACGAGTCTTACCCAGGCTAAAGCCATTGGGGTACCGCTACTCTCCCACTTAACATAAAGTTTATATAACATATATTTATTATGAAATGCGTGGTGTGTGAAGGCATCAATGCATATCCAATATATATGATGGCATGAATAAATATGGATGTTAAAGCTATAAAAATAAATAAAATAAACCAAATACAACAAAAAAAAACAACACAACAAGCATTGATAACAATTTTGACAAATAAAGACAAAGCTTAGTCTTAGTCCCCAGTGGAGTCATCATTTTGTCACATCGCAGCGACCTTAAAAATTATTTAAATCTTTGAAAGAACGGATTTCTGGCATCCTGTTCTTTAATGAGGATATTCTTTATTTAAAGAGTCGTCACCTAGTATTATGGTTACTAGGAACCCTAACTGGTCAATAGAGATTCTAATGGTCCAAGACTGGTTACGTAAAAAGAAAGATACTATCACCCCTTAAACGTCCTACCTAAGGCAGGCTGCATTGCTGATCTTTGTCCTTAATTGCCAACATTTTTTTTTGTTTGGTTTATACTATGATGGTTTTGCGTGTAATATTTCTGACTCTGGCGTCAGTGAATATTTAACTACAGATATTTCCAACTCTGGCACTGGTAAATATCACGTAGCTATAAAAATAAAATAAATTTAAATTAGTTATTTTTTTATTCCCGACTCTGCTACGTCAGTGAATATTTAACTACAGATATTTCCAACTCTGGCGCTGGTAAATATCA